GGGTTTTCCTGTGCAAAATGAGTCATGACTTTCCCAACCCAATAATTAAATGAAAAATAATATAATGTGCCATCAGTTCTTGGTACATAGATTTTCCAAAAATACAAGAGATCCTCAAAAGTTCATGGAAAGGGACCAGCAGATGGCATATGGTTACATCACTGGACTCTCACGTTGTCAACCATGAGTCCCAGACCTGGCAGTTTAAAACTGACACTGGATGCATGTGCATGCATACTAAAAATCCTGACAGGAGAATGGAGGAGAAGGGATTGTGGTGACCATCTCCCTGGGTAGTGATTTCTCACTTTCTGTCTCTCTGGTGAGCACATGTACCGTATAGCAAAAATTTCTCTAAAAAAAAAAAAGTTAATGGAAAAACTATCCAAGGATTTCAAATTTTTTTGTAGTGAAATAAACTCATACATTAATTCCATTGTCCCATGAACTTATATAAATTTATTTATTTATTTATTTATTTGCCATTCTTCCTTTTAAACTTTATCTGAATAAAAACCAGGGGCTAGGCACCATGAAAACAAGCTAGAAGCACAGTGACTCAGAATATGTTTGTATTTTCAACCCACTTTTTAGAGAGAATTTTTTTCTTTTTCTTTATTTTATTTTATTTTTTTTGCTATAGGGTGCATGTGCTTACCAGAGAGACAGACAGACAAACAGAAAGCAAGAAATCATCCCCCATGTAGGATGGCCATGCCATAATCCCTCCTCTTTCATTTTCTTTCTGAGATCTTGGGCACACACTTAGTGTGAGTTTCAAGTCTCTGGGTCTGGGACTCAAACCATGGTTGCCCATGTGGGAGTTCAGTGTCTTAACCATTACACCACCTGTGGACCCATATTTTTAACCCATTAATCCATTTACATTTACCTTAGAGATTTATGATAGGATATCAGTGCATAGTCTGTGTGCTTAACTCAAAGACTCTGGTATACCTCAACTAGCCTAGTGGGGTCATATTTAAGCACATAAATTTCTAGGTCTTTTTCAAACATCTATTGAGAGGTCTTGGAGAACAATGTCAATGTGAGGAAACAGCAACTTAGATGTCACATGAAAAATGACACACAAATATCTTTTCATTATATTTATACTCTGGAAAGTCAGAAAACTGGATTTGGAAATAGGGACATTTAAAGAATGGGTTTTCTACCAAGGCTAGACTAAAAAGCTTTACCTTTGAGGTCCAGCAGGTGGCACAGTGGTTAAGGTGTTGGACATCTACATGGCCGACCAGAGTTCAAGTCCCAGACCTGGTGGCTTGAAAATCATTTTGGGTGCATGCACATGAATGCCCACATTCCTGAGAGGAGAATGGAAGACAAGGGATTTCAGCATGGCCATCTCCCCTGGGTGCAGGGGAGAGTTCTCACTTTTCTTCTCATTGTCTCTCTCTCTCTCTCCAGTGAGCATGAATACTCTATGGCAAAACAAACAAATAAACAACAAAAACTTTTACCTTCTCCTGGGGGATTTTATTTACTTTTCCATCAGACAGACTTGTAATTATGAGAGAATAGGCCATGATCAGGAGTTGAAGAGTTTGCCACATTTTGCAGAAACATGTTTCTGGTAGGCCAAGTGATTACCACAAAAAGTAGCTGGGATTGTACCATTACTGAGACCAACATGAGAAGCTAGCTCTAGGTGGAAAAAAAAAAAAAAAAACAGAAAAAAACAGCAACAGCAGCTCCTGGCGCATGCCAATAAATGCAAGAGCTGACAAGGGTAGGGAGAGGTAAAGCAAGACACCAAGAATCAGAAAGTCTCTCAGAAGAACTCATATTTAGAATCCTCTAGAAATCCAGTATTTCAGTACCTGTCTGCCAGGAGATGGCACGATCAATGGATGGACAGCGCTGGCTCAAGAATTAGTGTCAAGCAGCCAAAGGAAGACTACAATAATGGCCTTGTGAATCCCTCAGACTCCTTGCATCTGCCAACTGAAGAAATTAGAATCTAGGAGAGAGAGGAAGAAGTTGCCGAAAGGCAAACCATCTTCTAGTCCCCAAGGTAGAAAATGGGAAAGAAGTAAAAAGAAGACCATATCTCCACCCAGTTTCAGGTCCTCAAACCACGATGCTAGCAAATAACCCAAAAGAGGCTAGATACCAGTTTAACATAGTAATTTACCTCATGACTGATAAATATTCCATCATAAACTCCTGGGAATCTCAAATTATTTTGGAACACAATGCAAATATAGACATACAAGTACATAAAATATTTTTACATATAACTTAAATACAATGTCAAGAAAATTAGAATGACTTAATTTGACAATGTTTTTCATTTTTATCCAACATATAAAGAATAAGCCTTGGGGCCAGCAGTTAGTATAACCCGGTGGCTTAAACTCACGCTGGGCGCATGTGCGTGCATGCCCAAGATCCCAAGAGGAGAATGGAGGAGAAGGGATGTGGTGTGGCCATCCCCCCTGGGGGTGATTTCCTGCTTTCTCTCTCTCTGTCTCTCTCTGTCTTTCTGGAGAGTGCAAAAACCTAGCAAAAACCTCTCCAAGAAAAAAAAAAATTAAAAAGAAAAAGAAGAATAGCCTGATCAGTTTGACATCTCCCTTTTGGATGTTTCAGGAGCCCTCTGTAAACATCCAAGAGTTACTTTGAGGTCAAAGATCCTCTGTTAGCCCTGTAAACATCCAAGATTTACTTTGAGGTCAAAGATCCTCTGTTAGCCCTAAAACTAAAAAACAGAAAAAGCTAGTCATGAATTTGTTTCTCTGTTAGATATCCACCATGTAAAATGCAACACCTAACACATAAATACTAGTTATTTCATTAAGCCAACCATATTAAGATAAATATGATGTTGTTTGATTAATAAAAACCTAGACAAAATATATGTTGGAAATTGTGAAGACTTTCACTTATTAATATTTTGCTTTTATTACATTTGAAACCGGATTCTTTACTAAAGTTATGAATTTGAAAAGCATTTAAACCAATTTTTATGAGCACTCTTTTTATTTTTTAATTTATTCATTGTTTTTAGAGAGGTTTTTGCTATAGGGTGTGTGCACTGGCCAGAAAGACAGAGAGACACAGAGAGACAGAAAGCGAGAAGTCACCCCCCGGGGGGGATGGCCACACCATAATCGCTTCTCCTCCACTTTCATCTTGCGATCTTGGGCATGCACGCACCCGCGCCTGGCGTGAGTTTAAGCCACTGGGTCCGGGACTCGAACTGCGGTCAACTACATGGGAATCCAGTGACATAGCCATTACACTAACTGCTGGTCCCATGAATAGAATTCTTTAAGGGCTTTTCACACAGACATACGTATAGTACGTAACATGACATAACCCTTGGCGTGGTGTCGAAAGTCCTGAAAGTGATCTAGAAAACAGTTAAGTGGGGCACACTTAGACTAACAGACTGATGGCTGTCCCTGACTCATTTAGACAAAAACAAGACTGACAAAGACTAGACAAATAAGACAGTGCACCCAAAGACAAGCAGGGTGATGACTGGTCCTGTCCCATTCTCAAAGACAAGACAAAGCAAGAGAGTGTATCCAGAAATCACTGTCACTAGGGACCCAAAGTGTCATCACACTCAGGCCCTATGACCTGGAGGTTCCACTGCATCCAACCCTCCTAAAGTTCCACCAAGAGAGCTCTCAAACCAAGATAACAAGAATCTTACCAGATTCAGATGCAAAAATGACTCCAATTTCTGATCCGTGTTTGTGAAGCTTCCTTACCCCTCTTGAGACCCAGGATAGGGTATAAGAACCGTCCTCCTTGGGGCGTTGTTCGGCCACTCTAAGATTCCCAAATCTTGCTGGGGCCTCCAAATGTTGTAGAGTGCAACTGAATGAATGACCACCAAAGCCAGATTAAAGCTAAAGGGGATCTTTATTAGCTGGTCATCAACTACAGCCTGAGGCTCGGAGGCCAAGAGTCAGAACTGCAGCCCTGACCAAAATTTGAGCAGTCTTTTTACAGGGTGTCAGTTACCAGGGGTTTCCATAAAAGCAATTACAGAGGCTGAATCAAGCAGGTTAATTATTTCTGAGGGCACTCTCTAGACCTTTGTTTAACCATCTCTGTGGCTCCGGGCAGGGTTCTGGTGATTGATAGTTATATTGGTAAGGAACAACTAAACAAAAGGGTTTTGGGCTAGTTAGCAAAGACAGTAATAGGATGTTGTTCTAGATGCAGTTATCTGTATGGTTAGCACAAGCTGTTTTCTCATGGGAAGAACAAACTGGTTTACAGAAACAGTCAGCCATGTAAGGGTAAGGAAACAAAATGGATGAACTGTTGCTCATGTGCAAGATCTAACATGCGGCCTTCCACACTCTCTGAAAATTAAAAAGAAGAAGAAGAGGAGAAGAAGAAGGAGAAGGAGAGGAAAAAGAAGAAGAAGAAGAAGAAGAAGAAGAAGAAGAAGAAGAAGAAGAAGAAGAAGAAGAAGAAGCAGCAGCAGCAGCAGCAGCAAGGGTGAATTTAGAATGGCCCTGTTAGGGTAGTACTTGGGGCAAACTATAAACATTTGTAATTTATACTTAGCAAGTTCAACTTGTTTAACAACATAAATAGATATATAACTTCAAATTCACACTCCCCTTGGTTCAAACACTTTTAACTAGTAAACCTAATTATTGGTTCTAAATGCATGCGGGAGTTACAAAGAAGAGACAGTATTGAAACAAATCATTCTTTGTTAGGATGGAGATAAATGCATTTGCAAGAAGAGACTGGAAAGATTGTCAATAAGTATCCAAAATGTGACCTTCCTTTTGCTAGTCACTGTTGTAACAAGTTATTTCTGTTAAAAATACTTTTGCCTATGTAAGAAAAAAATCATCTCAACATAGTAACACAACAATGTCTTCATTTATAATGATGTTTTAAGACCCTAAAACCTGCTAAAATCTTGTATCTGTATTCTTAGGGTTAAGAAGAGTTTCTAAAAAGTAATCTTGTTCATTTTTTTATGTTTGTTGAGCCAGAGAGAACAAGAAAACATGCACGTCAAAAGGGGTCTTGACGCTGTGATCCACCCCCAGCCTCAGCCCAGATCCCAGCATACATGTATCTGGCATGCATTGAGAGGCCCCCAAGCATGAACCTAGGATCTTCCCGTGTGAGTCCAGTTACATTACCACTGCACCACCATCTAGCCCCAGTAATATTACTCTTTTTATTGAAGCATTTAACCTTTTGAACAGGGCATTTTTCCTACTAACAAAATTTGGCATTGATGTATTATTCTTTTTCACTTAGTGTATTTGCTAGTATTTCCAAATTAATGGTTTCAACTGGAACAATAGTCCAATAGATTATTAAGTTAATTCAACGTATTGAAAAGGTGTTTAGAAATATTTTGGAAATAAAGCCCAGAAAAATGCAACATTAGTTGAGTTGATGGGAAAGAGGTTTCCTCATTTTTTTTTTCATACAAAGGTTAAGCATACCTGTAATTGAATCATGTCCTTCCCAAATTTGTTTGTTGAAGTCTAACCTTCAGTGAAACTATTTTAGAAGGTAATGAAGGTTAATAAGGTCATAAGGGTGGGGCCCAAAACTGATAGAATTATGTCCTCAAAACAAGAGACACCAGAAAACTTGTTCATTCCCTCTCTCCATAAGCATGCACCAGGAAAAGGCGACTTGAGGACGCAGTGAGAAGCTGGCCAGCCGCCCCATCCTGGTAAGAGAGCACTCATCAGAAGCCAAACCCATCTGGACTTTGACCTTGGACTTCCATTCTTTGTAATTGTGAGAAAATAAATTTCTGTTGTTTGAATGATGTAGTCATATTCTGTTACAGCTGCCCAAGCTAACTAAATAAGGTCTGCAAACATTAAGCTTACTTTTCAAACATCCTTTTAGCCCTTGGAGATTCTCTCTCTCTCTCTCTCTCTCTCACACACACACACACACACACACATACACAATTTCTCAGAGAAACCTGAAACTATAAAAGCAGCCGATAAATGTAGAAACATATTTTATGATGAGAAACTTCCTTTTCCTATGGTTTCAGAAACCTATTGGGTAAGAAAAATAAGTTACCTCTTTAGAAATTCGTATTCCCAGCACTTCCTTTGTGAGCTACAGACCTACCATTCTGTTCTTGTTTTCTGCTTCGATTCCATCTTGTTTGACTGACCCTTACGTGTCTCATCACAGTTTACTTACCAGTTTCTCTATTTCCCAATATTTTAGAATTCATAGTATTTTACTATTTATTCATTCAGCCAGTGTTTATTGAATACTTTCTATAAGCCAGTCATTATTCTAAGGGATAAAAATTCCTGACCTCATTATGAAAGATGGGTAGTGAGGACACGCTGTTTTTTACGTGGAGGGACTGAACTCAGCCTCATTGACACTTGAGCAGAAATGTAAACTGTGAACAGCCAAACCCTGAGTAGAAAGGATGGTTGATTTTTGCAGGAACAGTAAGGAAATCTATGTGACTTGACCAAAGAGAGCTGGGGGTGTAGAAGTGGAACATATGAGATTAGAGAAGTCTGGCCTGGACTGGGATAAAGCAGAACACCTGGGACCATTTTGACTTTTACTGAGTTAAATAAGGAGCTCTTGGAGGTTTTTTGTTTTGTTTTGTTTTGGTTTTTGTTTTGGTTTTTGGTTTTTGGTTTTTGGAGAGGTTTTTGCTATAAGGCACGTGTGCTCACCAGAAAGACAGAAAGAGACAGACAGAAAGCAAGAAATCACCTCTGGAGGGGGTGGCCACACAGCAATCCCTTCTCCTCCATTCTCCTCTTGGGATCTTGGGCACGCACGTGCCCGGCATGAGTTTAAGCCACCGGGTCCGGGACTCAAACCACAGTCGACTACATGGGAGTCCAGCGACACAGCCATTATGCTGGTCCCCTCTTGGAGATTTTTTAATAGAAGAATGACTTGGCATGACATAGGTTTTTAAAAAGATCACAGTTTGGGCAGGATTCAAGTCTCAACCCTGGCTTGAAAACCAGGCTGTGCATGTGCACATCCAGGATCCTTGAGGGATGGAGAATAGGGGGGAAAGTACTGTGGCATAGCCAAGCCCTTTTGAGGGGTGGGGTGTTTGCTTTCTCTCTCTCTCTCTCGGGTTCTCTCTCACATGCACACATGCACCCTATGTTGTAAGTAAGTAAGTAAGTAAATAAATAAATAAATGGATCACGGGGCAGCCTCAGTGGCACCATCGGGTGCATACTAGACTGCAGAGTTGGAGTCACAGGCTGGTTGCAGTTTGAGACCCCATCCTGGTGGGCCTGAAAAATGTCTGGTGCATGCACATGTGCCCACAGTGCTGGCCGGCTAGGGGACTGGAAGAAGGCGCCTAGGCATGACCGAGCCCCGAGAGTGGGGCTTCTGTTGCTCTCTCATGCATACTCACATGTTGTATCATGAATTAAAAATGAAAGACATTTATTTTGAAAAATATAAATGATCACAATGGCCACTGTTAAAATTGGACTTAAGGTAAGAAAAAAGAAGTACAGGTAGAAAGAAGGCATCAGATGCTGGATACATTGTGAAGCCCAGACTGACATGATTTGCTGATGGATTTGATCTAGAATAGGGAAGACGCAGAAGCCACTGATAGGTAACTTCATTCAGTCTTGAACACCTTTATATTTATTCCTGATACCCTTTTTGAATGGTAAGCCTGAATCAAATACTATGTACATTTTAAAAATCTTTAAGATACATATTGTCAAATTGCCCTTTAGAATCTGAGGAACATTTTATTTTTATCCTGACTGTGGTATCTACTATTGTCCGTTTCTAAAAGTAACATCACATATAATTATTATTATTTAAAATTTACATTTTAGCAGGTGGAGTATGTCTTGTGTTTTATCCTCAATGATTCTGAACATTAATATTTTTATTGGTCATTGGTATTGGCTTTTTTTCCACTGTGAACTTCATGTTTTCTTTATGATTTAAAATTTAAAATTATAACTCTTATTAAAACAATTTTTTTAATAGTCCCTCCCCCCTTTTCTTGTCCTGAAAGCCCAGGACCACATTTCCCAGTCATCTTCGTTTTTTTTGTTGTTGTTGGTTGGTTGGTTGTTTTTGAGAGGTTTTTACTATAGGTAGCATGCACTTGCCAGAAAGACAGAGAGACAGAAAGCGAGAAATCACCCCCTCCGGAGGGGGTGGGGTGGGGAATGGGCATGCCACAATCCCTTCTCCTCCATTATCCTCTTGGGATCTTGGGCATACACACACAGGCGCCTAGCATGAGTTTAAGCACTGGGTCCGGGACTCAAACTGCAGTCAACTACATGGGAGTCCAGAGCATAGACATTACGCCAACTGCTGGTCGCAAATAGTATGCATTGAGAGAAACAGAGAGAGAGAGAGAGAGAGAGAGAGAGAGAGAGATGGCCTTGATGCCACAATCCTCCAGCCTCCATAGGCTTTTGCCATGGGGCAGGTGCCACCATGCCCTTTAGTCATGTTTGTACTTAAGGATAGTCATCTGTCCAAATTCTGGCCAGTGGAAGATCAGTGGGAGTGACTACCTGTAGGCCTGGCCATTAAAAGCTCCATCAGATAGGCAGCAAGTAGTGTGGTGGTTAAGACAATGGACTCCCACATGGCTAACCTCAGTTTGAGTCCTGGACCCAGAGACTTGCTTTCTCACCCCCTCCCACCCCTGGCTCTCTTTGGTGAGCACACATGTCCTGTAGCAAATTAAAAAATAATAATAATGCTAAATTAAAAACAAATCATCTTTAAACAAGTAAACAAACTAAATTCATCAATTGCTGACTTACGGACACAAAATTACACATAGGGAAGAGAAATAACTTCTAGTGTATAAAATGCAGTAGGGATAATGTGGTTAATAACTTATTGTACACCTCAGAAGAACTGAAAAAGAGGATTTTAGATGTTACCAATATAAAGTAGTAACATCATTGAGATTTGAGATAATGGATATTCTAGTTACCCTGATTGAATCATCACACATCTTATTTATGTGCTCAAAAATGCTATTTTCTCACCACAAATATGTACAATTATACATTTAAACACACATACACACACACACACACACACACACACACACACACAACCTCTCTCACATAATCCTGCCTGCTCTTTTCCCCTCTAAGCTAGATAGCAGGAGATAACCCCAAAGCGACCCTGGGAGTCACATGTTGAAAATAGTACCAGAAGGAAGTCTCTTGGGACATTAAATCACTACTAACAGGAGAACTGCCTGCCAAGAATGCAGATCTGAAAGTGTTCTTCTACACTACTGTGAGAAGTCACTGAGATTTCAAGGTTTATCAGTTACAGTAGGGGGTATATTTTCTAAGTAGTACAGACGTTTTTGAGTTATAAAGAGTTTCTTTAACTTCATACATTAATTATATTGAGCCTTTGCCTGCTTGAAGAAATGTAAAATCTACACTGACCCCCGTGCTCCCTGGTACGGAGAGACTGATCCTCTTCTCTGAATTCCTTTAAGCAAACAATTATAGGAATTGTTTGGAGTATAAAAGGTCAAATCTCTCTCTCTTTCTCCCTCTCACAATCTCCATCCCCTCCTCGTATGCACACACACACACACACACAAACACACACACACACACACACACACACACAAATTTACACCTTCGTTAAAAGATTGTAAGGCTACCTGACCAAAGCCCATCGAACCTGCAACATTATTATTTTTATTTTGACGAATAAAGCTCCTCTTGTTTCCTATTTTCCAGAAAACATCCCCTTTGGATTTTCTCCCTGTTGCTACAGTCTAAATAAAGTACTCATCACTTTCAGTCTCTGACAACTTTTGAAAGTTATACATCCTGTAATAAGGTAAATATTCTCCTTAGTTTACTATCTTTCAATTTTAGGTGTGTTTATATATTTTTGATGCATGTCTATATGCTGTCCCTGCATATGATCTTTTTGTAACATTTTTTTCATTGGTGGTTTATGAAATATTAAACCATCTTCTTTTGCTAATAGATCTCCTGTCCTCATTCTTCCTCATTTCCTGATCAGCCCAGAGCACATTGCCCAGGAGTGAACACGCTGCCATTTCGTGACTGGTCCCTCTCAAACCTATTGAACATTTACTCTCCCTCTTTGGTAATTTAACACTTATGGACGTACCTCAGGTCACTCAGTCTTTTTGAGGGATACTGGCTCATCCGCCAAGATGTTTTGTCATGAAGTCATTTGTCATACATTCACTGGTCTCAATGGTATGCCAGTCAATGCTAACTGGTTAGACAGACTGATGGCTAAACTGAGATACACGGCTGTCTCTTAACACTCGCCTGCATGACAGGAGGAGTTTTATATTACAGATAATGTCATTTATGTAGCATAACATCAGGAAGATGAATTAGTTTCCTATTGTGGCTATAACAAATTACCACAAATTTGGGAGCTTAAATGGTGATCAATATCATTATTTATTTATTTTATTTTTAAAGGTTTTTGCCTAAGGGCATGTGTGCTCACTAAAGAAAGATAGAGAGACAGAGACGGTGAGAGGGAAAGTGAGGAATCACCCCCAAGAGGGATGGCCATGCCACAACCCCTTCTCTCCAGTCTCCTCCCAGGATCTTGGGCACACACGCATACACACCTGGTGTGATTTTCAATCCACTGGGTCCAGGACTTGAATCATGGTCACTGATGTGGGAATCTAGTGATATAACTGCTATGACATCTGCTGACCCCAATGACTATTACAGTCCTGAAGTCAGAAGTCCAAAATGGTTGCTAAAATCAAGCTGTCCACAATGTTGCATTCCTTTATGGAGGCTCTGGGAGAGAATCCATTTTCTTCCCTTTTCCGGCCTCAAAAGCACACCACCATTCCTTAGCTTGAGGCTCATCCCTTCCCCTCTCTTCAAAGCCAGCAGTGCAGCATCTTTGAATCTCTACCTGGGACTCTCCTGCCTTCATCCTTCTCTTATGAAGCCCTTGGGATTATTCACATGGGTCATCTGATATAATCTTCCCATCCTATTGTATTTAACGTAATCATCTCTGCAAAGTCCTTTTTGCCATGCCCTATGTTACTGTGTTTGCCCAAATTCATCTGTTGAAACTTAATCACCAATGTGATAGTATTAAGAGGTGGGGTTTCTAAATTATGAGGGTGGAGAACTCATGGATAGGATTAGGACCCTTTTAAAGCTGTAGATGAAAGCTTTCATCCCCTTTTCTGTCCTACTCTCCCTTTCTCCATGAGAGGGCACATAAAAATCACTTGTCGATTGCTTATTTTGTAAGAAGCACACCCTAAATAAGAGGATATAAAATGTATAAAGATGACTAGCTGGTGACACAGCAGTAAAGTCCCACACTCTGTAAGGCTGACCTGCATGGGAAAGTTTCAGGTTTGAGACTGGAGACCTCCTTGAGTATGGTAAACATCTGTCTACCCATGAACCAGGGCTGGCTGAGACTGAGGGTAGATTATGGCATTAAAATCCTATTGGAGTCTTGTTCTCATGGAAGAAATAGATAAACTTAAAAAATAAAGCATAACCTATAATCTTCAGGAGTTTACAATCTGGTGTGACACATATACTTAGGATATTAAAATACTTCTGCACTAATGAATATAGGCCAAAAACACCATAGAAAAATAGTTAACAGAACATCTTATTACTTTTTTAAAATTATTTTATTTAACATTATTTATTTTATAAATAAAGGGACACAGTGAGAGAGACAGAGGGACAGAGTGAGAAGAGAAAGAAGCTAGAAAAATCAGTATTTAGTTTAAATCAACATTAATGTGATTAAAAAAATAACAGAAAAGCATAATTCGTATATTATCAACAAAGCAAAAAGTGTACAAAAATTAATCTAATAAAGCAATACACTACTTGAGACTATAACACAATATTCAAACTGCACTGAAAACATTTAAAAAGAGCCAGAACAACTGTACAGATAAAGAAATATGTTTGAGAATGAAGTTTGAAAGAGGATTCAGGTGAGTGTGTGACTATCTGAAGTAGAAGGGAATTCCTTTGAGGTGGTGGAACAGGTAAGTGCCCTGATTCTGGAGATGGTCACATGAATCCAGTAAAACTTTGTAGGATATACCAAGTGGGTGCCTGTAAAACTGGTGAAATCCAAATAATGTCTATAGCTTATCAATGGCAATTTTCTGATTTTGATAATAGACTGTGAAGCTGACTGAAGAGCATAAAGGAACTCTGTTTAATTTTGCAATGTCTAAGTGAGCCTAAAAATAAATTAAAATGAGTGTTCTAAAAAACGTCACATTGTAAATGACTCATGTGTCAAAGAAAAAGAAATTAGAAAATATTTGAAATTGAAACATAAATAAAAGCACAACATCTCAAAATTTGTAGAATGCTCTCTAAAGCAATCTCCAGTAAAAAAAAAAAAAAATTATCTCATGAAATTTCCTACATTAAAGAGAAAGTCTTGGGACCAGCTGATGACATAATGGTTACGCTGTTAGTCTCCCACATAGTGGACTGAAATTTGAGTCCTGGGCCCAGCAGCTTGTCACTTGCCAGGTACGGGTGCATGTGTGCCCAAGATCCCAAAAGGAGAATGAAGGAGAAGGGGTTGAGTTGTCATCCCTCTGGAGGTGGGGATGATTTCTAGGTTTCTGTCTCTCTGTCTCTCTGTTAAGTGCATAAACCCTGTAGCAAAAATCTCTCTAAGAGAGAGAAAGAGAGAGAGAGAGAGAGAGTCTTAAGTCAAAAGCCCCAGCTTTAACTTTAAGAAACTAGAAACAAAAAAAGGAGATAAATCCTAAAGTAAGCAGAAGAAAGGAAATAATATATCTCAGAGTCCTAATGCTTTCAGAAGGACCATGGCCTTGCCAGCATCTTGATATTGGACTTGAGCCTTAGAAAGTATGAAACAATGAGCATCTGTTGTTTTAAGCTAAGCGACCTGGTTACTGGTACATTGTAACTGCAAATCAAGGATACAAACATGGTTGGCAAAAGTCAAGCTCCTGCTATTTCCATTACATTATTAATAATAAGTAGATTTATTAAGTGGTCACATCTAATGACTACAGTGGAGTAAAAATGTAATATGCTCATATATACTTCACTTAATAATGTTATTAAAATAAATGCTATATGGTAAAATAATTTCATGTAGTAATTTTTTTTCATTACCTTTGTGGTGTGTATGACTACTAGAGAGAGACAGAGAGAAAGAAATGAGAAAGTGCCCCCGATGGGGGGCAGTCATACTGCAATCTCTTCTCTTCCATTTCTCCATCCTGTTTGGATTTGGGACACATACCTATATGTGCCTGGCTTGCTTTTCAAGCTAGCATTGGGATTTGAACCATGGCTGGCCATGCGGGATCTGACTTTCTAAACACTAGGCCATGGGGCTGGCTCTATGTAGTATTTTATAGATAATTTAAATATTAAAAATGTAAGTAATGGGGCCAGTAGGTAGCACAGTGGTTAAGATGCTGGACTCCCACATGGCCTACTGCGGTTTGAGTTCCAGACCTGGTGGCTTGAAAATCACGTCAGGCACATGTGTGTCCATGCCCAAAATCCCAAGAGGAAAATGGAGGACAAGGATTGCTAAGTGGCCAACCACCTTAGGAGGTGATTTTTCACTTTCCTTCTCACTGTCTCTCTGGCAAGCACAGTTGCCCTTGGCAAAACAAACAAACAAAAAACTTTAAAAAATTTTTAAGTAACTACTATACAAGGATAAAAGAGTGGAATTGTTTGATGAAATAAGAGCAGTATTAACCAAATGATTATGATTGAAACTTTATTACTGTTAAAAAAATGGTACAATAGGGGCCAGCAGGTGGCATGGTAGTTAAGACACTGGATTTTCACATGACTGACCACATTTTGAGTCCCAGACCTGGCAGCTTGAGAGTCATGCCAGATATGTGTGTGTGTGTGTGTGTGTGTGTGTGTGCCCGAGAGAATAGAGAGGGGACTATGGCATGGTTGTCTCCCCTAGAAGGTGATTTTTTGCTTTCTCTCTCGTTGTCCCTCTTATTCTCTCTGGTGATTGCATGTGCCCTATTGCAAAAACCTTAAAAAAAGGTACAATATAATTTTGTTTCTCTATTTGAAAATTTATACTTAGGTTTTAAAAAAATTAAATATTGTAATTTGAACTTGGTTCTTTTAAGATAAATATTTATTTTGCTATAGGGTATGTGTACTTGTCAGAGAGAGAGTGACAGACAGACAGACACACACACACACACACACACATACAGAGAGAGAGAGAGAGAGCACATTGATAGATACCATCACCTAATCGTGTTGAAATAATTTTGAAATTAATATTTGGGCCAGACATTCAAGATTTTAACTTGCTTTTCTCAGTACTGGAAAAAATTTTCTCTTCCATTTTTTTGGAGAAGTTTTTGCTATAGGGCACTTGTGTTTGCTGGAAAGTCAGAGGGAGACAGAGACAGAAAGCAAGAAATCACCCCCGGAGGGTGTGGGGGATGGCCACACTATAATTCCTTCTCCATTCTCCTCTCAGGATTCTGGGCACGCACGCGCATGAGTCCAGAGTGAGTTTAAGTTGCCAGGTCCAGGACTTGAACCACAGTCGACTAAGTGGGAGTCCAGCGACGAATCCATTACTCCATCTTCTGGTCCCAACATTCTTCTCTTCTTGCTGCTCCAGGGAGAACAACATGATAATGCTGTTGGTAATCTGGGCCTTCTGGCTCACAGCTTCCCCATGCCAAAGGAGAGTCTGGTGAGCAGTTCACAGTAGCCATGCACAAGTTCTTCAGAAGCTTCATATTAATCTTTAGCCTTGGGAGTCATTGGTGTTGTGCGCTCTTAAGGT